GGGGCAGGCGGCAGGCGGGAATCGAACTCACACGGAAGTGGCTTCAGATTCTCAGTGCTGCGCTTTAACCCGCTGCGCCACCAGGGAGGGCCAGAACAAATAATTTTTGAATGGGCAATGAGTCTGAACAGGCATTTCCCCAGACATGAACTACAAATAGCTATCAAGCAAATGAAAAGGTGGGCAACAGCATGAATCATCAGGGAAATGCAAGTCAAAACCAATGCTATCTGCCACCTGATATTCAACAAGATGACTACTAAAAAATAAAATACAAAATGAAAAAGACAGAAAATAACCAGAATTAATAAAAATGTGGAGAAACGGAAAGACTGGTCCACTGTTAGAGAAAAAGTAAAACAGTTCAAACACTTGGGAAATATTGTGGCAATTCCCTAGCAATTAAAAATAAAATTATCATTTGACCTAGTAATTCCACTTCTCACATATCTATCCCAAAGAATTGAAAGCAGGACCTAGAGGAGACAAATATGCATACCCATCTTCATAGCAGCTCTATTCAAAATAGCCAAAAAGTAGACGCACACAAGGTATCCATCTATGGATAAAAGGAGAAACAAAATCTGGTGTATATGAAGGATGGAATATTATTCAGCCTTTAAAAAGGAAAGGAAGTTCTGAAATAGATTCCAACCTGGATGACCCTTTGGAACACTTTAGTAGACAAAATAAACCACTCACAAAAGATATATACAGTATGTTTCCACTTATATGAGGTGCTTAGAGGAGTCAAAGATATGGTCTAAGATATGGAGCCTGAGATATGGGCTAAGAGGAATGGAGGTATTGTTTAATGGTGCAGTTCTGTTCTGGAGATTGCTGCATAACTGCATGAACATGCATATAACTGCTGAATTGCATGCTTAGAAATGGTTAAGATGGCACATTTTTTTTAAAAACTACAATTGAAAAAAAAATGTGTTTGAGTAAAGCCTCTGAAACAAGAGGTGAAAAACTATGTTCTGGAAAAAAAAATAAACCTGAATATAAGCAGAGTGCCCAAATTATTGAAATCTCTCTTTGATTTTTGTCTCCTACCATGAGTAAGGAAAATAAGTTCTCCTAAGAAGATGGATCCAAAGGAGTGGTGCCAGGTAGCGGCAATCGCAAGCAAGGAATGAATTAATTTCTTGATGGAGACATCTAAGCTTCGATGCCAACCTCTGCTCCATATTTTGGAACATTGGCGCTTACTCTTCCCTCTTCATTAATCAAAGATAATGCAGAATTACGAGGTAGAATTACTTGCCAAAGAGTTTTTCATTTTCTGTCTCTCTGAGATGATGCTGGTTGGAGTGAGAAAACTTCCCTAAGGACAAATGTTCTTCCTCTTAGGATCAGAGTTGCTTGAAACAAAGACAGTGCTCAGAGGTCTGCTTTTGCTTCTATTACCAGGGGCCTCCGGTGAACCAGAGCCATCAGCAGCCCTCATTCAGGCCAATCTGCCGTGACGGAGCCTCAGAGCCTCGCATGGAGCTTTTTACACTCCCCTTTTCCTAGTGAGTTGGGTCTTTAATTGAATGATGGTAATTTAACCTTCCTCATCCAGGAGCTTCTGCTGTGCCAGGGGTCTGAAAGCAGTTTTGATTGCACGTACTTAAATTCCTTTCAACTCTCTGTGTACTGCTGTTTCTCAATCCTCATACATAATAGTGCTGAACACTCCTATATTTTTAATGATTTATTTATTTATGCATACAAAAGCTGGGGTGTATGCTAGAGATACAGGGGGTGAAAGGATTCACCAGAGCTAGAGTGGGAGCAGAACTGAAATTCATTGCTGAAGGGAGCAGCGAGGAGACAGGAGAGGTCTGCTGTGCCATATGGGTCAGCTCCCTGGCTGGGGATCAACTGAACTCCTGCAAAAGTGGCAGCTAATAGCATCATAGTGCTGCATTTAACCTCTTGTTGAACTTTCTTAAACAGAAAAATAAGTCCTTATAGACTCCCACAGATTCAATTAAACCTTTCCATGATAACTAATGTTTTACAAAATAAGGCATAAAATCCTTGTATTAGTTACACAACAATAAAACCCAAATCACTTTCAATTTCAAATTCAAATCACCTGCATGACCCAAATATTCAAAGATCACACTCTCAATGTGGGATGGATACTGTTGTTTTCCTCAGATTCAACCACCACCTTCCTGTTCATTCCAGAGCAGCTTCTTTTAGATGTGTGCATTGAGAATATTTAACTCTCTAGTCATGTTTCTATACTATGATTATGTCGTATTTCTATACTGTGATTACTTGAGGTCTTGGCTAAACAGCCCGTTCCCATGTTAAAAGGCCTTGCTTAGCACAAAGGCATCATTTACATAGTAATTCCAGCTCTGTTCCAAACTCATTAACCAAGTCACAAAATAGTCTTGATGATCAGTGTAAATGTGACTTCTGAAATCATAAGTCATTCACTATTGAGAGGATGTCAGATCATGCAGAACAATATACTAGATGGATCCTCCATGGTGGTGCAACAAGTTAAAGCACAGTGTTCTGAAGCTATGGGCAGCCACTGGAGCACAAGTTCGATCCCCGGCCAGGGAGGTGTCCCATACGGCACAGCAGACCCCTCAGCAGTGGACTTTCAGTCAATCCTCCTGTTCTGCTCCCTGCTCTGTCTCTGGTGAGTCCTCTCACCGCCCCGCCCCCTCCACACACACACACACAAACCTGTGACCTCTACCCGAGTTCTTTGTGTAAAAATAAATACATCTTTTTTTAAAAATAGATGTTATATTGGCCCTCCCTGGTGGCGCAGCGGGTTAAAGCACAGCACTGAGAATCTAAAGCCACTTCCTCATGAGTTCGATTCCTGCCAGCCCCGGAGGTGACCACATGGCACGGCAGATCTCTCCTGACCTGCCCACTGCTCCCCTCAGCAGTGTACTTCGTCGATCTGCCTGTTCTGCTCCCCACTCTGTCTCTGGTGAAGCCTCTCATCGCCCCTGAGCCTCTGGCCTGTACCCCAGTTCTGTATGCACAAATAAATAAATAAATCTTTAAAAAAAATAGATGTTATAAAAAATGGTTCATTTTGAAGAGCAATAACAGAAGTTCTAGGTTCTTGGGCTCTGTTAAGGAACATCACTGTAAACCTTGCTTTCCTTAACACTAATATTGAAACCATCTATTATAACACTACTTAATATTTAAAGTAACTATTTGTTGTCGTTTTCTGCCCAGTTAGGGTGTCAGCAACTTTGGGGCAGTGCGATGGCTCTATAACTTCTCTCCAGGTACCCCAAAAATGGTGTCTATTACCATAAATCATACTTGACTCATTGTAAACTTGCACTTGAGATTGCTGATCTGACTTAATCGGGGCGCCTGAATGTTTACTGTGCCAGTCAGCTCACCAGATTAAAAATAACATTACTGGGCCCTTCCTGGTGGTGAAGCGGGTTAAAGCGCAACACTAAGAGCCAGCTGCAGCCACCTCAGTGCGAGTTCACTATTACTGGGCCACCAAACAGCGTTAGCCTATGTGGGCACCCCTTTAAGACATGGAGAGAAGTTCTGTTGGCTCACCACAGGCAATGCTCTTCACTGCCTACATGCAGACCAACACACCAGAGCTCACACATCTTACTCTCATCCAGCTAGACCTCTGACTCTCAAAATGGGCACTGGATTCAAAACAAGGCCGGTAGGGAAAAATCTACAGGAAAACGTCTGAGGTCTAAGCCCCCCTTAGAAGGACTCTGCTAGAAAGAAGGCCAGAGAAGAAAGCCAGAGACCCGTTGCTCTGATTTTATCACCAAGAACTCGTGTAGCCTCAGGCAAGCCATCCACATTCTCTAATACTTACTTTTCTTATTTTTGAAATGACAGAGTTGAAACAGAATTTCTCATATATTCTTTCTCCTTCCAAGAGCCTAGTAAATGTGGAAAATGGAGAGTTGAGGTAGAATGCCACTGGATCATAATCTGTCATCCTAAAGCAACCTAAATGACACCTCACTATTCAATTGTTTCATTGTTCTCTCATATCTATCTACTTCTACCTTCTCTTGCTCTCTCATTGCTCCCTCTGTTGTGTCCATCCCCTCCCAACAGTAGCCACCATCAGAGAAGAAGAAGAATGGCAAAGATCGCTGGCAAAGGGTGTAGCTGCATAACTTCTTAGAGGTACCAATGTATTACCTTCCTCTCAGAAATAGATATGGAGCCTTTTGATGTTTTTCTGTCTCAGAAAGTAATTCAGGAGTGTATTTGCCAATCCGAATGTTGAACTATTTCCAAAAGATCACTTCATCAAAGCTAATGGATAGTTGTCGTCTGGTAGTCAAGAGGCCATTGATGTGTTTCCGGCCCCATTATTCAATAAATATTAAATAACAATAACAGAAACCATACTATTACAACCACTCAGGATGAATTCTTTGAGCTGGAAGGAAGTAGGAGGGAAGAGGAGAGAACATATTATATAAGGAGAGATGTGTGTTGCCCACAACCCAGGAATGGCCAAATGGCTTTGGTGATTGGCTCTGGACGTAGGTGGCTGACTGTAGTCTGTACACCACTCTGATGGGTGATGGGGGGAAGTTTCTGCCCTCCAGTAGGAATATGGAATCACATTGGATACTCCACTGTGCTGGTTAAATTTATTTTTCCTTAAAAAAATCTAGGGAGAGAGTCAAGTTTGTTCAGCTGCCAGTAATGAAGGCTACTGAAAAAAATAAAATGGCGGACATGAATTAGCAACGTCTTTCTAGTTTGCAATGGCTAGAGCTAGGGTTGACTCAGTTCCAACCACTGGGAATGGATTTGTCGGGGAACAGCAAAGATATCAACATCCCGTCATCCTCTAATAAACACAGAATCATGTTTGATTCCACAAATTCTAATTTGTTCTTTAAACAAATATCCTCAAAAATTCATGTTTTTATTAACATTCTCCAGTTGTCATCAAAAGTGCCTCATCTGATTACTCAGCCTGAGCTCCTTTTCAAACCTCTCTCTTCTTAAATGGCCAGTGATATTTCTCTGCCTGCTAGTGCCAGCCACCCTTGTGGTGTTCTTCTCCACCCAAGTCACCAGGCTGCAGGCTGCTCAGATCAGAGTGGATAGTAAGAAGTCAAAGTAAGGAGGGCAAAAGGGAAGGATGCCTAGTGTCCCTCTGGTGCTGAGTTGCAGCCAGAGTAAGCAGGAACAGCAACCTCTCCCCCAGCCAGCAAATTTCTTCAGTCTTTTCTGGGAAAAGGCTCACTGGCTGTCCGGTGGGTACCCAAGGCAGCTAAGCACATGGCTGGTTTGGGAATCAGCCTTTCTCGTGTAGTTATCAAAGCTGTCCATCAAGTTTCAATTGGGTGATCTTCCTGTATGTCTCCCATGTTCCATGTTCCAAGTTCCACCAGGAAAATGGAGAATCTTCTCTCAGAGTTACATGAGATACAAGAAGTCATAAGTTGATTTGGCTCAGGAAACTCTGTGGGCAGACATACACTATGAAAACTAAATGGTTATTGAGTGGTTGAGTTTCCCAGGCAAAGAGCTGAAAGGTTAATTGGGGAGTCTGAAATCTGCACCCAAATTACCATGTTCCCCTAATCTGCCAGGGCATTAATTTAACCTAAAGTTTGAAAAAAATTCTGGGGAATGCTTACGTTGGTTTTGAGCAATTCTTGGAATTTCTAATTAACTTACAACTTCTCTTTTATTCTGTGTTCTTTCCACAACTTCATTTTCATTTTTAAAAAAAGATTTATTTATTTATGCATACAGAACTGGGGTACAGGCCAAGGTGCAGGGGTGAGAGGACTCACCAGAGACAGAGTGGGGAGCAGAACAGGCAGACTTAGTGAAATACACTGCTGAGGGGCGCAGCGGGAGGGTCAAGCCATGTGGGGCAGCTCCCTGGCCAGCGCTATGCGGCTGTGGAAAGCTTCATAGTGCTGTCCTAACCCATTGTGCCAACAGGAGGGGCCCTTATTTTCTTTCTTTCTTTTTTAATTATTAACTTTTTTTTTAAACATAGCAAAAGACACTTTTAACACTCAGTACTCAGGAAGTTCCCTGGCTTTGGGGAGCTCAGGAGATCAACTATGAACAAAAATATCTATTTGGCCATGTGAATAATTAAATGTATTCTTCTTTAAGTCACATTATGGCATACATGGAAGAGTTGAAGTAGAAAGCTTAAAAGACTGGCTGGGAACAATAAAGGCAGTCATTTTCAGAGTTAAGATTTTGAACCTGTCTGGCGCCAGATCTGTGCCCTAAATAACCCTAATATAGTAGGATATCTCTGAGCAAAATCCCATTATAGAGTCACTTCATTCATCTGAGATTCCTTATTTGAGCTAAACATTTCCTCCTTTCTATCTCTATTTATGGATTCTAATATTGCCTTTTGAAGCCAAATCTGTTTCGTATAATGATGGACCCTTATATCTAGGATTATAGGAGGTTAAGGCTAGAAAGTTCTCATAAATTAACCAGTGTTGAACTTGCATTTTATAGATCACAAAACTGATGGCTGAAAGTTTGAAATGTCCCCAAGATTACACAGTTTATCAAAGGTCCAGACAGAACAAAAGCTTAGACATACCGTTCAATCTCTATTAACTCCCAAGAACATCATCTTTTCTTCGCCAAGAAATATAACTTGGTCATCTTCACCCTTCTTGATAGTGATGTGCTAGAGGCTTAATGATTTTGTTATTTTGCTAGTGGGCACATTCCATACCAGCAATACTGCTCTTCAGATGGAGAGCATGTCCTTCCTTCCAAGCAATATGCTGGATCACTGTCCAGAGAAATCTCCCTGGTATAGACTACCAGCAAGTCTGGATAGAATACAGAATATATCATTTTTTTTAAAGATTTATTTATTTTGTGCATACAGAACTGGGGTACAGGCCAGATGTGGAGGGCAGTGAGAGGATTCACCAGAGACAGAGTGGGGAGCAGAACAGGCAGATCCATGAAGTACACTGCTGAGGGGAGCAGCGGGCAGTCAGGAGAGGTCTGCCACGCCATGTGGTCACCTCCGGGGCAGGCGGGAATCGAACTCATGAGGAAGTGGCTTTAGCTTCCTTAGTGCTGTGCTTTAACGGGCTGCGCCACCAGGGAGGGCCCAGAATATATCATTTTTAATGAATGCCAGGTTTTTAAAGGAAGGGAAATACTTCAAAAGTCAGAAATGAGAAAGTGGTATTTTCTCATCGATTGTTAATTAAAAATGGGTGTTTCAGGGCCTCCCTTGTGGCTCAGCAGGTTAAAGCACAGCACAAAGAAACTAAAGCTACTTCAGCATGAGTTCAATCCCCGCCCCAGAGGTGACCCACATGGTGCAGCAGACCTCTCTTGACCTATCCGCTGCTCCCCTCAGCAGTGTACTTCGTCCATCTACCTGTTCTGCTCCCCACTCTGTCTCTGGTGAATCCTCTCACTGCCCCTGCACCTCTGGCTTGTACCCCAGTTCTGAATGCACAAATAAACAAATATATATATATATATATATTTTTAAATGGGTGTTTGATGAGCTGTAGAGTTGGGAGGTGGGGGGAAGAGATACAATCTGAATAGGTTAGCAAGTTGAACTGAAGACCCACATATATCCAAGACCTGATCCAATACGGATTTTCTCCTAAGGGCCCATCACAACCTTTTGCATTTAGAAACACGGGATCAAATGTCAAGATTCTGCTTGGGGACCATTTTAAACAACAAAATTACTCTAAAAAGCACAACAATGCAGAAAACCTAGCACAAAGGAGATCACAAAAAGAACATTTGTTTACGTATGAGGA